GCTCGGTGGTACAAGCATCCATTCCTTCCGATGACACACTGTTCGGCTAGGCTCAGCCAGCGGACTTTGTCGTTGTCGGTCGGGAAATCCGGCACTCGATCGGTTTCTAAATCAAAGATTTTGATACAGAAATCATCTTTTTTTCTGCTCAATTAAGAAATCATATGGTTTAATGGCGGTGGGCATGTTGATGGCGATAATGGGAAGGTCCAGAGGGTTTACGCTAAGACAATATGGGAATTCAACAATGTCTTCGGATTCCGGATGATCATCCTGGAACGCTTGCGACGGGTATGAGATTCTTGATAGATAATCGGCAATTACATTGGACGAGCCTTTCAGATAATCGATAGAAATGTTGTAACTTTGCAACTCTACGGTCCAGCGCGCGAGGTTATCATGCGTTTTATTATGCTTAAGAAGATACGTGAGGGGTCTGTGATCGGATAAAATGTGCGTGCGATTGCCATAGATGATGTTTTTGAAGAATCGCAAAGCGCTGATCATAGCAAAGAGTCCGATGTGTGTGGGACTCCGTCTGCGCTGGGATTCTGAAAGTGTTTTACTGAAGTAACCGATGACTGCTATATCCGTCTTGCTCTCTGTTTGTTCCTGCATGAGGACTGCGCCCACGGCAATTTGGCTACCGTCAGTATGCAGGATGAAGTCTTTATCCTGAGGGAAAGCTAGGCACCGCTTAGAAGATAAACTGGTTTTCAAGCTCTCGAATGCTTTCTGATGTGTTGATGTCCAAGCGAATGCCGATCCCTCCTTAGTCAGATCATTCAGAGGAGCCGCAGTTTTCGCAAAATGGGGTATGAACTTCCTGAAGAAATTAGCCATACCCACGAATCGTTTTACTTCTTTAGCAGTCTTCGGTGCCGGACAGTCAAGTATAGCTTTGACGTTTCTTGTTCCTGGACAATAAGAGCTTTTCGTGATTTCGTGTCCTAGAAAAGTAATGGACGAACGCGTTATTTCCTTGAATTTCTTGGCAGATATTTTGATGTCGAATGTTCGAAATCGCTCGAAAACTTTCCTCAAGGAGTCTAAGTGACTTGGGAAGCCCTTGTTGAAGATAACAACGTCATCG